GTACGGGCCGCCATGAAGATGATGTACTGCCCCTACTGCAGCGGGCAGGTGACGCTGAAGCCCTGCCGCAACTACTGCCTCAACGTGATGAAGGGCTGCCTGGCCAACCAGGCTGACCTGGACACCGAGTGGAACAACTTCCTGGGTGAGCTGGCGGGAGGGGGAGGGGGGGGGCTGGGGGCCTGAGGTCGGGTCCAAAAAAAACCTCAAACGTGCCTGTGCCAGAACTCAAAAGGGGAGTACTTGGAAAGGCATTACAATTCTTGAAATGGTCCAAAAACAGTTTCCAGCAGGGCTTTCTCATTTAGCATTTGTGATCCTAGCGGGGGTTTTGCAATATGCAGGGGCCGTGTTGCACAGTTTCGGGACACGATTGGATCCCGCTGCCCCCTCCCTGCTGTCGCCTCCTGTTTCTCATGTGGAAAAGTTTGCAAACAGGAACGACTTCTTGTGTCCTTCTTGCGCCCTCTGACACATGGAGGGTTCAGTTGCCTGCACAGTCATGTGAAGATGTTTTTCCCCTGGCAGTCGTAACGCAACTGTTCAGCAGCCAGCTGATGGTCGTCATCGCTAACCTTCTCTGAAGCTTGCCCAGCGACTCTGGGTGATAAAGTTCCCTGTAAGCACAGCCTGCTTTGTCTGTTCCAGGAACTAACAGAAAAAAAATCGCATGCATTTTAGGGGAACATGTGGACTGTTGGTCTGTTGCTTTAACAGTCGGTTTATCTCTGTCCCTGTCTGGCTCAAAAGCAGGCTGTACAAATGGACTTTGCCTGGAGAGAGCAATTTCCCTTTGGCGCAAAAACCTCTTGGAGCTCGGAAAATCTAAAATGATGTAATGGGATTAAAGATGGAGAAAATTAATAATAATGGCTGAGTCTCCCTTTGGAGACTTTCACAGGAATTTCGCAAGAATGTTGGGGATCCGATTTACATTTTCCTGAAAGGAGAGTGCTCACCCCCTCCCTTCCCCGCCTTCCAGAAATTAAAAGAGAAAAGTCTCAATCAGACCCCCTTCGCTGCCCCTTCAGGCTGGTGACAGCCAGCCCTGCTGGAGGTCTGATTGTGCTCTGTGTCCCCGCCTGTGAAAGAGAGCAGCACATTCCTCAGGGCAGGGACACTCGGAGCTGCGTCCCAGGCAACACGCGCTCCCGGCCCTCTGGCTTTGTCCCTGCCGCCCCGCAGGGGGACGAGGGGGTGCCCGTGGCCCCTCTCCGCGGGAGCAGCCCAAAGAGGAAGATCACTGCCGGTCGGTGTGTGTCGGCATGCGCAAGTGACATGGCCGGGCAGGGCTTTTAACTAACCCGAGCACTGCTGATGGTGGTGTTAGACTCATTTAGCATTTGTGATCCTTGACTTTTAACTAACCCGAGCACTGCTGATGGTGGTGTTAGACCTCTCATGTTGTACAGCGGGAGGAAGAAAGACACATTTTCTGTTCCAGTGTGTAACAATGCATTTTGTACAATTTGTCCTTCTACTGCGGCGGACCTGTGTTCATTTACCAGTGTAGTGTACAGAACATTTGTGCAATGCAAGGGTTAAGAATTGCTTGTTGTACAGGCATGATCATTTAAATTTGAATAGCTATGTTAACACGTCATTAAATTATTTAGGGTTTATGTGGTATTTCCTTTGCATGGCATGAGAGCGTTTCTTTATCGATCACTGAGTTGAAGCCCCTTCTGGAATGTTGATTACTTTTGTAGGTCATAGTTCATACAGCCCCATATCCAGCACAGTTGAGCCAGCTGCGTGGAGTTGCTAACTGGCTCCCCCATGTGGCACGAGGGCTGCAGTGCATGAACTTGTCCCGGCCGCCACACATTCAGTTAGTTCTTGGAGGGATTATCACAGTTCAGTGTGTCAGTAAGGCAGTGCGTGGCGCTCAGGCCTGGTTCACACTCCATTCCCCCGCTGTGGTGAGGAATCTCAGTCAGCCCCTTGAGCACGCAAGGTTCTAGTGACGGCTTTCCAGGAGCATGTACTGCTCCTATTGCAGCCCGGGGCCAGACTTGTCGAAACTCTATATCCGCCCCTTCAGTTTTGCCAAAGCAGGAATGCAAGTAGCAGCTCACAGCAGAACCTCCTCCTGCACGGCCCATGGTGGATTCGTGGAATTCTGTCTGCTGGGGTGCAACAGAACAGCAGCGCTGTAGCGAGAAATAGGAGAGAAATATGACGACAGAGACAGAAATTAAAGGGCAACGGCTAAAGTTGAGAAATGCAGTTAGTTAATGTGGAAATTCAGCAACATGTGTGTACTTTGCTTGAATGCCCTTAAATGTGACATACACTGAAGATGTTTCAGTTGTCTGCTACTATAAAAGGTGGTAAGAGGGTTTTTTGCAGGGTTATCCGTAATGCTGCAGCTGCTGTTGTGTGCTGAAGCACCCAGGTTCACACCCCTCTGCCCCCCCCGCAGACGCTATGCTGAGCCTGGCCGACCGCCTGGAAGGGCCCTTCAACTTCGAGTCGGTCATGGACCCCATCGACGTGAAGATCTCGGAAGCCATCATGAACATGCAGGAGAACAGCGTGCAGGTCTCCCAGAAGGTGGGGCTCCTCCGAAAGCCGTCTTGTCCTGCGCGCCGCGCGCCGTGACCTCTGCGCTGTGTCTCCCCCCGAGAGTGCAGCCGGTCCTGTTAGAGAGGCAGTCGAATGTTCCTGCGCTGCTCGTTCTTGTGTTGACTGGTTTCAGTCTGAAAGCTTTCCCAGGGCTGTCGGCCAGTCCTCCTTGTCTTAATGAATGCAAGTCCAGCTCTGCTGTCCCAGCTGTCTGATTTCATGAACAGTTATAGACACAGTCCTACTGTAAGCCCTCAGCGCCACAGCTGAGCTCCACTGCTCATTAAGATGCTTTTAAATGCAGATTGAACTGGGTTACACATTAACTGAGCTTTAAACCTGTTGAAGCAGGCCTTCTCTGTTTATCACGTTAGTGTTTAACGTGGATGTATTTCGTTTTTTTAACCTTTCCTTGGCCTTTTGGTTTTTTTTTAAAAAGTCAATATTTAACACCAATTTCATGAAATGACATTGTGCTCCCATGATGCTATATTCCACTACCCACTGTGTGTTGGTGGGGTTTTTCAGTCTTGAGGTGACCCTGCAGCAGGGAACGGCAGATTTCTGATAGAAGATGGACAGTCTTGATCGCCAGAGTTTGTGCATGGGCTTCCTTAAAGTCAGCAAAACTCAGCTGGAATGATGAGACGAGGATGAATTCTGGGCAGCTCAGAATTCTCTTAACTTCTCGTTTTCTGCACTGTGGACACGAGTAAGGATCGTGGTACAGTGTAAGAGTGTCTGGCACAATCTCTGTTGAGATGGCAGAAGACACCAGCTAGCGACGTCATCTCAGTGTTGGCTGTCATTTGGCGTGTTCTTTAGAAGTGTAGAAAAACCCCCACAAGAACATCCGTGTGTATTCATAAGAAAAATCATATTCACTAACATGATAAAACAGGACAGACTGCCACTCGCCCTTTCGGGTTTCGTTCAGACTTCCTGAACTTCCACCACCGCAGGTGTCTGCAGACGCTGGTGGCCACTGTGGTCATTAAGGCTGTGTCTGGTGTTTAGAACAGGCAGGGGTGTCGCTAGCTGCTAGGAGATGCCCCTCCACCTGTCTCGGCGAAAGGAAATAAGGTCATTATAGGTATATTCCCGTTTCATTGTAAAAATAATCTCGGATATCTGTGACCTCTACGCTTGCACATGTGATGCGGACGTTTAGGCGACACTCACATCACACTTCTGAAAACATCTCACTTGTCCGTGTTAACAAATAAAGCAACAAATAAAGTCTAAACTGGACTACATTAATCTCAACTACAGACTCCAGAGTTTTGCTTGCCCTTGCCCGGGAGGTCCCACGCTGCTGGGATCATGTGCTCTGAAACTCCACAGGTGGCTAGGAGTCGGGGAGTAGCAGCAGAACATCCTTGGTCGCTCATTCTTGCTGTGTTGGGTTCGACAGCCCATGCGCCGTACGTTCGATTGGCTGATCTTTTCTCGACTGTCTTCCTTCTCTGTGAGACCTCTATTTCTAAGCTCTGTTTCTGTTCCGGTCCTGTATCTCACCCGAGACTCTCCCTCGCTCGCTCTCCCAGGTGTTTCAGGGTTGTGGCCAGCCCAGGCCCGCCCAGGTGTCCAAACGCTCGGTACGAGAGGGGGGCTTCGCCGCCCGATTCCGCCCCTACAGCCCAGACGCCCGGCCTACAACCGCAGCCGGCACCAGCCTGGACAGACTGGTAAGACAGCGGGCAGTTCTTTGTCCAGGTCTGGTAACTGATGCTTCAGGACTGACCAGTCGGGATTCATTTCAGATCGGTCTGCTACTTGTCACCCCAATGAGCATGATAGGCCTCAGTGGGCTCCTGTGATTCACATCCTCTCCGATATATAAACTGGTAACTTGCCAAACTGTTTGACTTTGCTGAACAGCATTCAACACTGTGAACATACTGCAGTGTGTGTTCTTCTGGACCCTTGAAATACAAACCCCACACCAACGGTACTGATATTTTTTGTGTTTTTATTCAGATTAAACGCATATATCGCAGTCAGTAGAATAGATCTCTTGCAGTAGAGGTCAGGTTTGCAGGGCTGGGGTTAAACAGGTCCACACCCGGCGGGGCGGTGGCTCTGTGGCTCAGGATCTGCGCCTGTGTCTGGAAGGTTGCCGGTTCAAATCCCACAGCCGGCAGAGGAATCCTACTCTGTTGGGCCCCTGAGCAAGGCCCTTAACCCTAACTGCTCCAGGGGCGCCGTACAATGGCAGACCCTGCGCTCTGACCCCCAGCTTCTCTCCCTGTCTGTGTGTCTGTGTCTCCTTGGAGAAAAGCTGGGGTATGCGAAAAGATGAATTCCTAATGCAAGAAATTGTATAGGGCTAATAAAGAAACATTATCATTATTATCATTATAAACATTATCATTATTATCATTAACATTACCTGCAAACTGCTGTCTGTAGGGCAGCTCCGCAGTGTCACAGACACGCTGAGGATCTTGTCCTTGATCTTTGAGAGATCTTGCAGTCGATCTGCCCGCAGCGAGGGATTCATCTTAATTCAGGGAGGTCCTCTGTTTCGGCAGCACCTGTCGCACGCGGTGGTCTGAGGTATTCTCTCCTCTCTCCAGGTGACGGACATCAAGAAGAAGCTGAAACACGCCAAGAAGTTCTGGTCCACGCTGCCGGAGAGCGTGTGCACAGGGGAGCGGATCGGCACCGGGGACGAGTGTTGGAACGGCACGGCCAAGAGCAGGTGGGGTCACCGTCTTGCGACGTCTTCACTGCGCCTCGTCTCGAATCCTGCCCCTCTGTTGACGGAGCGGGCACCGCGGGCTCGATTCTGGACTGGGGCCCTGGGTTCAGCTCTGGGTGCTGTCTGTATGGAGTTTATATGTTCTCCCCGTGTGCGTGTGGCTTTCCTCCGGGTGCTCCCGTGTGCTCAGGCAGTCCAGAGACATGCCGCCAGGTTTGGCTTCTGGGGAAATTGCATGCTGGGATGGGCTCCGGCTCCCCTCCAACCCTGTACAGGATAAAGCAATTGGAAAACTGATGGATGATGGGAAAGCTCAAAGCTGGAAGTGATAAGGGGGGGTGTGTGACTGGGGCGCGATAAAGGCTGCTTCTGCGGGCACATTGGGCTTGATCGTATCCCCCCTCCCTCCCCCTGGCTCCAGGTACGAGTCGGTGGTGATGGGAAATGGACTAGCCAACCAGGTGACCAACCCCGACGTGGAGGTGGACATCACCAAGCCTGACGCGGTGATTCGCCGGCAGATCCTGACCCTGCGCATCATGACCAACAAGCTGAAGAGCGCCCACAGCGGCAACGACGTGTCCTTCTTCGACATGAGTGAGTAACGGGCCGACCCACTCCTCCCTGAGAGAAGGCCATAGCCTGCGATCTCGGGTTTGAGCCTGGGTCATGTCGCCGTGATTGGGATTTCAGCCTCTCCGCGGGGGAGGAGAGCAGAGTGATGAAGCCAGTTCAGAGATGGGGATTATTAGGAGGCCATGTCTGGTAAAGGCCCAGGGGGAGATGTGGCCAGGACACCTGCCCTACTCTTTTTGAGCAACTCCCTGGGGTTTGTGATGACCGTGCAGAGTCGGTGAGGCTCAGTGGTGATGCAGCTGCC